ACCCGGCAGAGCCAGCTGGGCTCGCTGAGGTGCGGCCGGACGAAACACACGCGGAGATGGGGTTTCTGGAGCCAGCCCCACGGCCTCCGCTCCGCAGCCGCCGTTTCTGGTTTTAGACATGCCTTTTGGGGTTTTAATTCCCCTGCCTTGCTGCTCAGGAGAGAGCCGCAGGGGGAGGAAAGAGCCAGGGGAAGTGAGAGGTGCAGCCCGGCACGTAGGAGGAGGCACTTCCCCACGAGCAGAGTAAGCGCTGGCCTCTCCTCCGGCTTCCTCGCCGCACTTCTCTGACCCGGCTGTCATAACTGGGCGGCTGGTTCAGCCGGACGCGGATCCTTTGTTTAATCGACTGCCTTCTTGTGACGCGGCCTGCAAGGCTCCTGGTAGAGGGGGACTCTTTCAAGACTCGCCCGGCTGGGGCTCCTGGTAGAGGGGATCTCTTTCAAGACTCGCCGGGCTGGGGCTCCTGGTAGAGGGGATCTCTTTCAAGATTCGCCCGGCTGGGGCTCCTGGTAGAGGGGATCTCTTTCAAGATTCATTGGCTGGGGCTCCTGGTAGAGGGGATCTCTTTCAAGACTCACCTGGCTGGCATCTGAGTTGGATCTTGCATGTGGCACATGTGATCTGGAGGGGTGTTTGTTGGTCCCGTGTACAGTCCGGTGCCTGTTCGTCCCCAAAGAAGAGAGGCGATCTCTTTGGTCAGACCAACAAGACTTTTGCGGGAAAAAAAAAAAGGCTTTAATTACAGTTAAATAATTTTTTTTTGCAAAACTCTTGTTGGTCTGACCAAAGAGATCACCTCCACCACGAGCCTTGATCCTTGGTTAGGCATGTCATGATCAATTCAGGTTTCTGCTGGCATTTTAACTCTCCCATACGGTGCGTTGCTAGAGTTATGCAGCTTTATGCTATCTGAGGACCCGGCCTGCTGCGCTTAAGTGATGGTTGACCAGCCTAAGCGGTCGTGGAAGTATGGCTTACGAGCCTGGTGGGAACCGGTTCTTGCAAGCGGATCCGCACGAACAGGTGCTGCAGGTAACCCCGGGCCCGCAGAGGGTTCCTGTGGGCTTGTTTGCAGAACCGGGGCATCAGACTGCAGCGGGATACTTTCATTGCCTGACCTGTGTTTACATCCTGTAACTGCCATGTGGTAAGAGCAGGATTTGCATTTACTTCCCTTTTTTATGGACAGAAAATAAAGGAAGGATGGAAATGGGCAGTTGCACAATACCACTTCCTATCTGGTCTGTCAAGCCAGGCCTCTTGTGGTCTGCTATCTGGTACCATGTAGACTGACTGGTACAACCTGTTCCATGGTCGGTTGTCGGCGAGTAAAGTGGTGCCCCCCAGGCTAACCTGGGTGAGGGGGGTGTGTGGACACGCAGCAGGACTAAAAACAAGGCCTGTCAAAGGGCGGATGAGCTCCCCGTGAGCCAATGGCCATGCATACCTGGAGAGGAGATGGGCGCCACTTTGCTTGAAGAATCACCAGTGATGCAAAGCATCTAAGGTGTCACAGCGGCCTCCGGACTGACTTGCCTCGACTTTCCGTCTGGGGACCTCGGTACACTTCGACAGTCAGATGTCTGAGATAAGCCTGTCCGCTGAAAAACACAATGTGCTTTCTGAGCCTTAATCTTGAAGATGTTTTGCCTATCTGACCGCATAGAGGCCTGCTTTGTCCTATTTTTTTGTTAGCACAAAAAATATATATGCAACCATAATGCAAATGAGAAGCTGGGTGGTAGGAACAGATCAGTGAAGTAGCGCTTTGTCCTGCTGAGTTCTTATTTGCCTCTGAGTAGGAAGAACTGGCATTGTACTAGGGATGTAAATATTGTTGAAGAAATAAGCCACGTCAGCTCTTCTAATTATATCGGTTAGCTGTTTAACTGATAACACATACCTATGTGTTGGGTTGAGGGTCGCACCGCTCCGGTGCAACGGGGTGGACAAGCCAGGTTGAGGGACACGGCGCTGCCACACTCTGTAGGATCAGTAAACCATACAATAATTCACACAATACCATTTGAAAACCTGATACAATTAACTCCCCCCTACCGAACACAAGCCATGCTTCAAAAAATATGTTAACTGTTAAACGTTGACTGTCATGCATTAGCAGCATAAATGTAAGTACAGCTTAACCTGGCACATCCCTACATTGTACTTCATGCATCTGAACTCTCCAGAGCCATTGTTTTTCTTTTGGGTGTCTCCTCTTGTAGCGAAGTATTTCTTTTCTAGCCAAGTTTGTCACAAATGTTTTCACCTTTAAATTCAAGTGAAACTTGGCAGCACATTACACAGGGAGAGGGAATGTCTTTTATGTGCTGGTTGGCTGGCAGTGGGCATGCTGGTGAGGATCTTTCCTATGGTCGTGGAGCTGCACTAGCAACATTTCAGAGGCAGAATCAAATGCCAGTCCGGCCTTGAGCTCTGCACTCCCTGACGGGGACCGTAGCCTGATCCCGGTCTTGACAGCTATGTTAGTTCTTCCTGCCTTTTAGCACCACCACTAACTAGTTCTGAGACTTTTATTAGAAATCCATCTGTTTTTAAACTCACTGAACTATTTCGCATGATGTTATATGTTTCCATCTGTCATACTAGCGTGTCCACTGTGACTTTGCAAGCAGCTCGTCCTCTGCCCGAGTATTCCGGTTTACTGGTGCATTAATTCATTAATCGACTGTGAATCAGTTTTCCCAGCAGTTGTTGCACCTGTGTTGTTTACAGGCCGGGAGATGCTGTAGCTGTTTGGCAGTAGGTCTAGGCTTGTTACGGGGTTAGTCGCATGTAAGAACATAAGAACTGCCATTACCTGGGTCAGACCATAGGTCCATCCTGCTTGGGCTCCTGTGTCACGCAGGGGCAGAGACCGGATGCTGCAAGGGAGGGTGACCTGGGTCTGACCAGGGGTTTTTCTCACTGTTCCTCTCTTACTTGCAGCCTTCAGCATTTAAGGTCTAGGGAGTTCTGATTCAGAGGCTGTATCTCCACTCCCGTGCTCAATAGCTACCAATGCCCCTTCCCTCCAAGAACGTGTGCAATCCCTTTTTGCATCTGGCTAAACTTCCACCACATCTGGCAGCAACTTTAATTCCATGCTGGGTGAAAAAGAACATCCTTGTGTTACTTTAAACTGACTACCTACCACATAGAGGTTGTTCCGTGGTTGTGGGTTATTTTGTCCAAGTTACAGAGGTGAGAGGAGGCGTATCGAGAGCATCTGCCTCTTCAGCCGTAATAGCTGTCGAGTGTTTTCTGGTTGCAGAAATCAGCCCTCCTCGTGTTCCTATTATGTTAACCCTTCCTTGAGCCACCGAGGCAGGAATTCACCTCTGCCAGTGTTCAGCAGAGAGGGTAGGGCAGCAAAGGACCAGGGGGCAGCTTCTAACTCGAAAGAGCTGCAAATCCTTCCTGCAAATGCACTCTAAAACGTCCCCTGGCATGTTTCTTAGGGTGGGCCTCTGGCCGTGAGCAGCTCACTGCTCTGAATACTCACAGAAGATGATATGTGGCCCCTAACCAGAGTGCTATGGCAAGCAGGAAGAGCTGGGCACTGCTGCCAGGAAGACTACAGAGGACTGGTGCAGATGGGAAGGAGCAGATAGCAGTCCTTTCAGCCAGTATGGCCTAAAGGATGCTCATCTCTCGACCCACTGAGGTGGTCCTGCTTTCTAATCTAGCTGCACGTGGGAACGGCAGGGTAACGCGCACTGTATTTTATACCTAGCTTGATAGGGTCGGGATGTGTGGTCTGATTCCAGTATGGTGGGA